ATCATCAAAAAAAATCCACCGTGAACCAACCCAAGTGGCGAGGCCGGGCAGAGCCTCCTATATAAAGATTTATTTGATTTTTTTATGCAACTTCGAAGACCAATCTGACCCTTTACACATTAATATTATGTGTCGTTCACGATGACAAGAAAAGTTCAATTTTTGTGTAATGCACTTTCCTGTTTCACATTTTTAATCTACTCCCTTCGTCCCATTTATATTGTCTCGTTTTACCTTTTCGGGAAGTCCCACTTAAATTGTCCCATACCATATTTGGCAAAGTTTGGTTGACTCTAATTAAATCATTCTTACTTTATTCTTACTTTATCAATTAATATCAACCACATGATAAAGTGTAATTCAAATTGAGTTTTGTTATCAAGTATGTGTTGGTGTATGGAGTGTTATGTACATTACTATTCCTATATATAAATAGGATAGTATACGTGTAATGTGTGTGTCTTGGACTTTACTTCCTCAACTCAATAATATTCTCTCTTCCTCTCTTAAGTGTGAGTTAGTTACGTTTTCTAACTGTCTTGTGCCATCAACTGGTATCAGAGCGTTTTCGTTCCTCGGCACCTGAGTAATCGCAGAAGCTTGTGAATGCGAGATTAAGCAGAACGATGACAAGCTCGTCTGGAAATTTCTTTGGAAACCTTCCAATGTTTGATGCGAAGAACTGGGACAAATGGCGAGTTCAAATAAAGGTGATTTTTGGGTTTCAGGATGTTCTTGAGGTGATAGAAGAAGGACTCCCTGAACTTGGCCAGAACCCTAGCGATGCAGATAGACGATCCCATAAGGAGGCGTACAAGAGAGATTGTAAAGCCTTGTTCATTCTGCATCAATCAGTTGATGAGGCTCATTTTCAGAAGATTTCTGAAGCAAAAACATCCAAAGAAGCTTGGACGATCTTGGAAAAATGTCATGAGGGGAATGAAAAAGTGAAGAAGGTACGATTGCAATCTTTAAAACGTAAATTTGAGTTGTTAAAGATGCAAGAATCTGAAACTATAGCAGATTATTTTAGTCGAGTAATTACTCATGTAACTGCTATGAGAGGCTATGGTGCTGAGATTAAGAATTCTCAAATTAATGAGAAAGTGATGAGGACATTGCTTAAGAAGTTTGATCATATATCTGTTGCTATAGAGGAAGCACATGATATAACAACTCTTACTGTAGAAGGTTTGAAAAGTGCATTAGAAGTGCATGAGTTGAAATTGATTGAACGAGATGAGGAGGATAAACAGGAACAGGCTCTTCTTGCACAAAATTTCAAGATGTTTGCAACCAAGAAAGGTGATACTAAAAGTAGAGGGAAATGGAAGAGTAAGACAAAGAAGGATGATGAGAATTCTGACAAAGATCATACTGATTTAGCAAGAGTAAAGGGGAAGAAAAAGAAGAACTTTGACAAAAGCAAGATCCAGTGCTATAACTGCAAGAAATGGGGACATTTTGCAGATGAATGCTGGTTTGGTGAGGGGAAGGATAAGAGACCAAAGAATACAAAGAAGAATGCAGAATCTGGAGAAGAAGAGGCTCTTGTAGTGGCTCAGGGCAGTTCTAAGGAGGAGGAACCAGTAGTCTTGATGACTACCACTTGTAAAGGGCCTGATGGAAGTAATGTGTGGTACCTTGACACTGGATGTAGTAATCATATGACTGGGAATAGAGCCTGGTTACCAAACTTTGATGACAAGAAGAAGTGTAGTGTCAGATTTGCAGATATGAGTGCAATCAGTGTTGAGGGTATTGGTGATGTAGTGATAACTGGTAAGAATGGCAGAAACTTAATACTTGAAGGAGTGCTATATGTTCCAGAAATGAAATGTAATCTCTTGAGTTTGGGACAACTCATTGAGAAGAAGTACAAGGCTGTTCTGGAAAATAGTCATCTGGAATTATATAATTCAGATGATACTCTTTTGCTGAAAGTTCCTATATCAAGCAATAGGACTTTTAAGGCCAGTACTAAAGCTGCAGAGGTTCAGAGCCTAAAGACTACTCCAGGAAGTGATGAAAGTTGGCTGTGGCATGCTAGATTTGGGCATTTGAACTTCAGAAGTCTGCAACAGCTGAGCAAGGAAAACCTGGTGATTGGAATTCCTGTTATCAGTTTACCTGCAAAGATATGTGGAGAATGTGCTGTGAGCAAGCAACATAGAGAAACCTACAAACATGCAGTACCAGACAGGTCTTCATCAGTGTTAAATGTGGTGTTTTCTGATGTATGTGGACCTTTTGAGCAATCCACTTTGGGAGGTAACAAGTATTTTGTTACATTTACTGATGATTTCAGTCTAATGACATGGATATATATGATAAAGATGAAGAATGATGTGCTGAGTATATTTATCAAGTTCAAGAGGTTGGTTGAGAAACAAAGTGGGAACTCAATCAAGATTCTTAGAACTGATGGAGGGAGTGAATATACTTCAACTGAATTCAAGCAATTCTGTGAATCTCATGGTATGATTCATGAAATAACAGCACCCTACACCCCTCAGCATAATGGGGTTGCTGAGAGGAGAAATAGGACCATATTGAATATGGTCAGATGTATGCTTAAAGAGAAGAATGTGCCTAAGTTCTTGTGGGGAGAGGCAACTAGTACAACAGTATATCTGCTAAATAATTGTCCAACAAAGAAACTAAATGGTAAGGTGCCTAAGACAGTATGGCATGGGGTGACACCAAGTGTGAAGCATCTCAGAATATTTGGTAGTCTTTGTTATAAACATGTTCCTGATCACAGAAGAAAGAAACTGGATGACAAAGGTGTTCCAATGATGTTAGTTGGATATCATTCAGCAGGATCTTATAAGCTATTTGATCCTGATAAGAGGAATTTTGCATATAGGAAGGATGTGGTGTTTGATGAGACACATGTGTGGGACTAGAGTGTTCAGGATAAAACCAAAAATAAATTGGTTACTATTCTGACTGAGGAAACTATGGAAAATGAGGATCAAGCACAGATGAACCAAACTGTTTTAGGTCAGACACAGAGACCTCAGAGAAATAGGCAACCCTCCACAAGATTTTCTGGGTATGAGGTGTATGATGACTCAGAAATAAATGAAGCAGGTGATATGTTACATTTAGCCTTGCAAGGTGAATGTGAAGCTTTAGACTGGAAGGCTGCTTTGTTACAACCAGAGTGGAAAGAAGCAATGATTGAAGAGATAAATGCCATAGAAAAGAATTCTACCTGGGAGCTAGTCACTTTACCTCCTAATAAGAAGCCTATTAGTGTAAAGTGGGTATTCAAAACTAAGTTCAAACCTGATGGATCAGTTTCAAAGTATAAAGCCAGATTGGTGGCTAGAGGTTTTCTGCAGAAAGAAGGTCTTGATTACTTCGAAGTGTTTGCTCCTGTGGCTAGGATTGAAACTATAAGGTTAGTGGTGGCCTTAGCATGCAATAAAAAATGGTATATGGCACAACTTGATGTAAAATCTGCATTTCTAAATGGAGAGTTAGAAGAGGAAGTGTACATAAATCAACCACCAGGGTTTGAGAAGTTAGGAGTTGAGGGAAAGGTATACAAGTTAAAGAAAGCATTATATGGGTTAAAGCAAGCTCCAAGAGCTTGGAATAAGAAGATAAATGCCTATCTGCATATGATTGGCTTTAGAATTTGTGTCACTGAACATGTAGTTTATGTCAGGAGGTCTGAATCTGATATTATAGTGTTGTGTCTATATGTTGATGATCTTTTGGTAGCAAGCAATTCCTCTACTCAGATTGAAAGATTTAAGGTTCAAATGAAGCAGCAGTTTGATATGACTAACCTGGGGCAGCTTGCATATTTCCTAGGCATGGAATTTTGCTTTTATGGTAATGGAGTGTTTATACATCAGAAGAAGTATGTGGGAGATATATTGAAAAGATTTCAAATGACTAAATGCAATCATGCGAATAGTCCTATGGAACCAAAGCTGAAACTAGGAAGATGTGAAGAAGAAAAAGAAGTGGATAGCAGTCTGTTTAGAAGCATTGTAGGCTCCTTGAGGTTTGTCTGCAACACAAGACCTGATATTGCTTTCAGCGTGGGGCTTATTAGTAGGTTCATGCAATCTCCTAGGCAATCTCATTACATGGCTGCTAAGAGGATTCTGAGGTATCTTGAGGGTACTGCAAATTTTGGAATGTGGTATCCTATAGAAGTGAAAACTGAAGAGGAAGGTTTGATAGGATACTCAGACTCAGATTGGAAAGGTGATAGTGAAGAAAGGAAGAGCACTACAGGCTATTTGTTTAAGTTTAATGGAGCTTTAATATCTTGGAGTTCAAGGAAACAACCACATGTTTCCTTATCCACTTGTGAGGCTGAGTATGTGGCTGCAGCCTATGCAACTTGTCAAGGTGTGTGGTTGAAAGCATTACTGGAAGAGATCCTTGGAGAAGGACAGAAGGCTTTCCAACTGCTAGTTGATAACAGGTCAGCCATTAATCTTGCATTAAATCCAGTTGCTCATGGTAGGAGCAAGCACATAGAAGTGAAATATCACTGGCTAAGGGAAAAGGTCAGAGAAGAGAAGTTGTTGCTGATATATTGCAGAAGGGATGAGCAAATATCTGATATATTTACCAAGTCTCTTCAGTTGGACAAGTTCAGAAGCTTCAGGGACAAGCTTGGAGTACAGGCAGCTGATTGTTGAAATTTCTGTTATACATTGTGTTGAGTTTTCGAATTAAGGGAGAGTGATAAAGTGTAATTCAAATTGAGTTTTGTTATCAAGTATGTGTTGGTGTATGGAGTGTTATGTACATTACTATTCCTATATATAAATAGGATAGTATACGTGTAATGTGTGTGTCTTGGACTTTACTTCCTCAACTCAATAATATTCTCTCTTCCTCTCTTAACTGTGAGTTAGTTACGTTTTCTAACTGTCTTGTGCCATCACCACACAAACCCACTTTTCTTAATAACCGTGTCACCCTCTTCCGGGACAATATAAATGGGACCGAGGTAGTAACTCTTAATTTACTACTCCGTATTTAATTGATTTCTCCGATCATTATGGGTTTGTCTTTCCCTAATACGATAGTACGAGTAATGAAAATGTTCTAGTGTACTGCTTTGTCCATGTATCTTTACATGACTTGATCAATCCCAAAGTTAAGTACTGCCAACCACGTGCATGTGTGAGCTAAAAATGGTTTTCATGACATTGGTATTTGGTATGTTATGTCCATCAGATTTGTTCGCTCTTTTGTGGTCATCTGGCTCTACATGCGCCATTCACACTTATCTTCCAATCTTTTTCCTTTGTAAACTCTCACCGGTCAATACTTGTCTAGTTGTCTACTTCAGTCGCCCGCTTTAATATTTCATTGAAAAATGACACAAGTACTTCCTATATAGGCAATAATTAAAAACGTTATTCAAACATATTTTGAAAAGTAAGCTTGGTGCATATATTATTTTTAATATTGAATGATAATGGTGAGCCTGTTATGTTATAGATGTACTACATATTATTTTTAATATTTAATTATTAAGTTGTCATTTAAGATTTAGGAGTGTTAATTATTTCTCAAAGTGGAAGTGAAAACAATTAGATGAGATGTCCAAAAAGTATAGGTGGTAAGTGAGAAGATTAAATACTAAGCTACCACTTCCACAAAACCACAATTCAATAAATTTTTGTTAACATCTTCATTAAATTTTCAAATATTATATAGGATTTTAACGAACTATTTGAGTGGTTTGGTTTTTAATTTTCTCATGGATTTTAGGCTCCATCTTTTAAAGACATTATTAGTTTGATCTCTCCTTACTCTGTCGTAGGTGGGAGAACCTTTGTGGCACTAGGGTGATGATGATGATGATTAGTCCCACCGAGTATGTATTGTTGACAAAAATAGCTTTGCTTCTTGTTCACGTCATTTCCATACAGGGCCCCATGCACGCTATTTATGAATGATATTTTCTTTTCGTCTGTGAACAAATTACTCACAGATAAACACATACTGACATACATAGTATTGTTTAAAAAAAAGTGTATTCACAGACAAAAAAAATAGTTTCACATGTAGAATGTATGGAGCGAAATGGCATGTAAAAATAGTTGTTGATAACAAAAAAAAATATAGGGCCATCGTCCAGAATAGGGTGTCATCCTTTGTTGCTAACAAAAACAAAATACTCGGTAATAAACCTCATTTCTTAACTCTCACACGGCCACACAAACTCCCATGCATAGCCATAGCCGCACAGGTAGGCTAAATTGCTAGAAGGAAACCCCAGGCCGGCCCACCCGGAGTTCAAATGTTTTTGTTTTTGTTTCTTTTTGAAAAATGACAAAATTATTATCTTTATATTTTTGGAAGATAATAATGAGATTAGTTTTCATTTTCCAAAAAAATATGACTAACATTTGTTTAGTTAATATACATTTATTTTAATTCGAATTCCTACCCACCCCACTTCTACCCCGACCTAATGGAAGGAAGCTTTTAGCAGCCGGAAAAGTCGTCGGAAAATCCTGTCCGATTTTGTTTAGCTTTTTGTCAATATTGCCGGAAAAAATTATCAGACGAAAGATTCCAACGGCAATTACTGAAAATGACATATGAATAACTGAAAGAAAAATCACTCTAAAAAATCACACTTTGTCTATATATATAAGTATTCACAATTTTCAAATTTGAATTTAATATAGTACTCCGTACTATGTAATAGTTAAGGAAAATACCGATTTGTTTCACGCATAATTATTACTATGTACATTTTTGTAAAAAAAGTGGATTTTCCACCTCTCCAAATGTTTATAAAATTAAAATTTAGACGTACTGTATGTAGTATCCGAACAATTTATGAATGTAACAAATCTTGATAGTTTTTATATGAAACCTACATATAAATTGTGAGAGAAGAACAATATTTTTGTTGTTCGCTTTGTTGTTGTTTTAATAATAATAATAATAATAATAATAATAATAATAATAATAATAATAATAATAATAATAATAATAATAATAATAATAATAATAATAATAATAATAATAATAATAATAATAATAATAATAATAATAATAATAATAATAATTGGGTATGAGGTGAAGGTTGTTGCGTCTATCTGGCTTTAATTTGCTTTGCATCTCTTTTTGCTGGGGAATTTATAAACTTTCTGGTTGGCATTGAGATGAGAGACGTTTACAGCTTTCCAACACAACACAGAACATAGTCATGAGGACAAAGGCACATGATGATTAATGGTGCGCCAAAATTATAACTTAATTAGGCGTGTATCATCCAATGACTTGCTTTCCTATCAATTTATTTTGAAGAAAACACCTTGAATAAAACCTCATAGTATCAAAATAGGATGAGAATTACTCTTATTTAGATAATATAATAAGAACAAATACTCTTATTTTGGAACTTTAAAGCTTTTTTACATCTATTTGGTGAATTTCACGAAAATGTCAACAAATTCATTAAAAATATAAGAGAAAATGGATGACATCTCGTTCCTGAAAGTCCTCAACATCGGCCGGACAATTAAGTGAGAATGTAATTTGGAATCCAATTACAATCTAACCGAAAGAGAGTGAGGCATAAATAATAGAAAAAAGAGGATGACACCCCATCTGTGAGGGCCCTCAAAACCTATCGGACAGTTATTTGAGAAGATGCAAATTAAACTTTGATCTCGCATTAATAGAAAGAGAGTGATGTTCCATACCAATTATTTGTTTGGAGTTGAAATCTGAATTCCTGTATTGTAACACTCTCTTTCTGAGTTGTGAGACCCTTGAGGCAAAAATGACAGAAACTTTAGTAGAGTTAAGTACGTTTTGGGGACCATAAACTTTATTCCAAACCACAAACCGCTCCCTCATATTTTTTTGGTCGGCCCTCTTTTTCTTCCACTACTTATGTGCTTTCTACCCATGTGGTTACTTTGCATCACATGACCCGCTTCCTCTACTTTTTCTTCGTTTCCACCCATTCCTCCCATCCTTTTTCTTTTCATTTTTTGCCCACTTTCATTTTACCGTTTCTACAAGCAAACTAGAGAGTATTTTAGACGGAATCACGGAAAGTATCATTTTTATTTCATCATTTTACATTATAGATTAAAATCCTACTCCATTTTACTCCGTAGCTATCTTTTTTAATATGTAAACGCTTTATTATACATATATATACTTTACGTTCTAAATAAAAATTTGTTGACAGAGAAACCAATTGTACTTGTATGAATAGTTGAAAAAGTAAGCACATTTATACTCCGTATCGTTTTCAGAAAACACTGAACAAAACAACTCAACAAAGTAATTTTATCACTTTGAGATCCGCTTAAAGTGAGTTCTATTGAAAATAAAGCTAATAGTAATAAAATACACATGATAATTAGACGAGGCCATACCAAATGAGATCCGCTTAAATCAGATTTAAATTGGTTGAACTACATTTGTCACTAATAGTAATAAAATACACATGAAACAAATTAACTCAGAACAAATCTAACATAAAGTACTACATAAGACCAAAGTACACCAGACTGGAAAATTTAGTTAAAGAAGGAAAGACCTTTATGCTCTTAAATAAACATATTCCATAGAGAGAAACAAAGTGTGTAAAACTAAGGGTCTGTTTGCAACAGCTTCTGCTTTTAAAAAGTGTTTTTTTAATGAAATGGGGAGAAGTGATTAAATAAAAGTTGATAATGTTTGAGAAAAAAGTGATTTTGAATAGTAAAAGTGGGTAGTGTTTGGTAAAATAAGTGTTTTTTGTGTAATAGAAAAAAGTAAAAACACTTTTGACGCGGAAGCCGAAAAAAATAAAAGTTGTAGTGTTTGGGAAAATAAGTGCTTTTTTAAAGCCAAAAAAAACTGAGAAGTGCTTTTTAAAAGGAGTTGCAAACCAACCCTAAACCAAGGATCACTATTCTTCTTTTTGGCGAGATGCAAATTCTAATGTTGTGACTAATTGAGTAGGGTCATAATTACAAGTAGGATCAATCAAGAGACGGTTGCGCGCATAGTTATGTGTAACCCAGTTCCATCTAAATTTTATTCTTTCCAATTGGAATTAGTTGTCACTTTAGTCCATCCCCATCCCCATATTAAATTTTGTGTTTTGAAAAATAAAATTTATTTAATGTTGTATTTCATAAAAATATGCTTTTATCACTCCCTACAATATTTCTTAGATTGGATAGAGTTCAATGTTAACTACAAAATTATGGTCTTCTAATTGAAAGAGATGACAATTGCAATGATGATCACAACGGGCAATCTTCGTAATCATATCATTCCTCATACTCTTAAGTGCTCATGAAATCTTACTACATATAGAAATATAGTTCCCATTATTTTTTCATCCATAAGACCATAACCCATTATCTCGTTCGACCAAATTTGCACATATCTAATCTATAATCATAAAGTTTTGTCCCGCTTTATTTTCATCCCTCAACCACGAATTTAGTGCACTTTATTTTTAGTGGGGCAAGGTTCAATTGCTAATACTACGTAGTTTATAAAAAAAAATACTCCCTCCGTCCGAGAATTAACTTCGGCTTTTACTGGGCACGGGGATTAAGAAAGTGGGAAATGTGTGGTAGAGAGTTGTGCAGAGGAGAGAGAAATGTGTAAGAATGGTTGTGAACCACAAATCCTTTGCCAAAAAGGGAAAGAGGAGATAAATTTGGGACGAACCGAAAAGGAAAAAATGAAGATAATTCTGGGACGGAGGGAGTAGCTATTAGCTAGCTAGGCATTGGACCTAATCTAGAGTGAGGCATTGACTTGACTAGTTCAGAGTAGTTGAAATGACTAATTATATTGAATGATTAGTTCAAAAATAAGTACCATCCCTTAATCTTATCATTTTCAAATTTGTACGTACACATATCAATCCAGCTTGGGGTACACATTTTCATACACATACCTACACACTCATGTTTGTGAAGAGTATTTTTTTGTCTGTATATAGACATAACACATTTTCAAATACTTTATGTTTGTATACAGACAAAAAAATACTCTTCACAAACATGAGTGTGTAGATGTGTGTATGAAAAATGTGTACCAATAGATTTTTTGCTCTTCTATACACGTCACTCACATAAAAAAAAAATCTTCACAAACCATGTACAAGTGTGTACAATTGTGAAGTGTCTACAAAATGTTTTTTTGTATAATTTTATCATCTTCCCATGTTTATTGTATAAGTACATTTGTCATTTTCTCTTTTGATCAATTAATTTGTGTTTCTAATATTTCTCTTTTTTGCATAAACCCCGTCATATAGCTTTATTTTATCGTATCAGTCAAAATTGAGAAATTTATAAGAAATGAAGAGACTACTAAATTTCTATGCTTTTTGACTCTTTGGAGAAGAATGACTAAATAGAATGACGACTAAATAAGATGTTTGCAAATCGAAGTAACATTGACTAGTCTAACTAAACGTTACAAAAAGTGAAATAATACTTATGGGTATGTAGTATACCAATAGTCATAGACTTAGTACAATTAGAACCCCTTTTGATAACATTCAATTAATCGTTTAATTCTGCTGAAATTTATGAAATTCTGGCTGATGTGGTTGTATAGGCTGATACTGCTGATTTATGAAAAAAATCATATTTAAAATTTATTCTATTAATAAAATAAAGAAATGAAAAAATAGTTAAAATAATCATCTACAGTCACTTCAGTCAATATAGTCTGAAAAGTAACACAAACTTACTTTTTTTTATTATTACACAATTCAGCGCGCGAAATCAAAAATTACATGTTTTTTTTAAAAGCTGGTTGATAAATTTGATAAGTCAAAAAATGGAGTAACCAAACGGGTTTGCTCTTAATCGTCTTTACATAAAAAAGGGCTAGGACTCTATGACATCTCACTAGTCACTACTCATCTACATCAATCAATTTTGTCGAACAGTACATTTCTTCCCAATTGGACAGCCCAAACGTTTTTTTTGAAGAGATAGCCCAATTAAAAATAGCAAAATAAAGGGAAAAAAGTCATCTCGTTACTTTCGTATATGGGCTAAAACCCTCACCTTATGGAAGGAGTTGAGAAGCCTGGAAAGATCGTTAATAGAGAAGTACAAAAATCTTGAAGGAATTCAGCAAGATCGGATCTACGAATTTGCATTGACTTGGGCTGAATCATGTTTATGCTAAAAATTTAAGATACTGGTTTTTACGAGGAAGAATTCGGCCTCAAAATTACTAATCACAACCACTAAATTAAACATTAATAAAATATTATTTAATAAAATAAATCAATTTAATTATCCAAATTACCCTTACTATAGGAAAATACATAGTAACATCGTTGGAAGTTATGGAGTTTAGCTGAATACAATTTACTCAATCCAGCCTTACATAGATTACGGAAACTTCATTCAAATGAACATGAAAGTACGTAAGTTATACTACCTCCGTTCTTAAATAAATGCAACGCTTTGACTTTTACACTATTCACATGTTCTACTTTGACTACGTTTTATTTATTAATGTAATAATATTATTTTATGAAAAAGATATTGTTAAACTTGTCTCATTGTAAATTTTCATAAACTAATTTTTTTAATTTTTTTACTAATACAAAATCATTTATATTAATGGTCAAAGTTGTGTCTCGGCAAGTGTGAAATGTTGACCGTTGCATTTATTTAAGAACGGAGGAAGTATTATACACCCGGGTGTACATGTACACCCGGTTTTTAAATGACGTGGCAGACTCATTCTCTCATCCATCTCTATTCCTGATTCTTCCTCATCCCCTCACTCCCCGTTGCTTTTATTTATTTCAGCCGCCATTCTTTTTCATTTTTACCCTCCATCCCGTCATCCTAGTTTGTTGTATACTACGTATTTGATTTGTCTTTTTTATTTTACTTTTTCGTTACTTTTTTTTTCTCTTCTTTCTTTTTTCTCTTCGTTTCTTTTATTTTACTTTTTCGTTACTTTTACTTTAGTTAGTTTACTTTTTTGTCTTTTTTCTTTTTTTCTTTATTTTAAACTCAAATAATTATAGCGTCTAAAAAGAATAAATATATACAAATGAACATTTCAATTTTTAAAAACTCATTTTGTAAGTAATGTATGTCCATTTAGTACCTTTGTTATGCTTATTTTAAAATGTTTATCCATGTATATTTCAAAAGTCTCATATTACATTAGATTCGCATAGAATTTGATTATAGACACGAGACCACAAACCACGATACTCAATTGCATGATTCTAGTACCCAATAACGGAGGTTCGATGCTCACTGAAAATTTCTTGATGTTCAACAAACAAAACATACAATTTTCATATCAATGATCATCTTGTAAGTTACGAATGCTCATTTGTATAGGTCTGATGCTCATTAAAAATTCATTAATGCTCATTGATCTCAATAGAGGATGTTTGATGCTCAATTATAATGTCGTGATATTCCACTAAAAAATCTTATGATCTTCACATCAATGCGCATTTTGTAAGTTACTATGCTCATCTGGTACTCATTTTCTAAATGATATAATTTACATATGCTCATTTCTATAGGCCTGATGCTCATTAAAAATTCATTAATGCTCATTTAATAGAAATCATGATTTTCATCAATCTCAATAGAGGAGTTTTGATGCTGAATGAAAATGTTGTGATGTTTAACCAACCAATTAGCTACCAAATTCATTAATACTCATGTTGTAAGTTACATATGCTCATATGATACTCATTTTATGCTCATTTTCTAAATGTCATATCAATGCATTTTTTAAAAGTATTAATTTATGATAGACTCCTAATACTCAACATAATAGGATTGATGCTCATTAAAAGTTCATTATTGCTCATTCACAAGAAACTATGATTTTCATCTCAATAACAGATGTTTG